CTCCAAAAAGCATACAAACAAAAATCAAAATTTTCACGTTCTGTTGGCCAAAACGGCTAATTTCTGGTTTTTTAATTGAAGCTATCTCCAAATATTTTCTTCAAATCCGTCTCGAAACATTATCGTCGTATTACATTCGACTTTGATGGAATTTAAAAGAAATGGTAGCCATGATAAAACATGACAATGATAAAAATTTCGTATTTATATCTCTGGCCCTTACACAGTTTTGGGTAAATCCAAGTAAAATAAAGCTATCTTATCTTATTATCAAGAATTTGTATGGTTTGGACGAATTTTGAAGAAAATGTGAGTTCTTTATTTCCATATGTTAACAGCTAAAATCAGGATATTTTCGTCTAAACTCGCGTATTCTAAGTTTTTTCTCACTTTTTTTGAAAACAATAATGCCAACAGATTCAGAATGGTCGATATCGTATGTTCCCATTTGTTTTTGTGAGATCGACCATGTTTGAAGATTTGAATGGAACATGCAATATATTACAGTAGGTTTCCAAACATCATCTAGAAAACTTGTCTTTACTACGAATTTCTAGCTAACAACCGCGCCCTCGAACAAAACAAGTTTTTATAAAACTTTTCTAAAAATGTTTATATTCAATTTTTCGGCATCAATGATATTAGTACAAATAGTTATGTTATTCATTTACAGAATAGAATATTCAAAAATTCATTATTTTTGACATGGTGAAGGTTCCATTAAATCTGAAGTCTCTATTACATTTAGTTATAAAACAAACAGTGAACAAAATCCGACGAGACAATATAAAAAATATCTCATAATATGTCTATCTTTTTCTTTTAACTACAAATGAAACGCACATAGAAGAACTCAACTACATGGTATAGTCTACATCACACTATGAATAAATCTGATGTAAAAAAAAAAGAACAGACTGAGATAACGCACGTGTTTTTGTTACATATATATGTATCGTAGTGTATGTTGTCCTCATATGACAGACAAAAAACCATTAACAGATTGTACACCATTGTGATGAATATTCAATTACAACTCTGATTTTGTGTTTTGTTGTCGTTTCATCTGCTCTCACATACTTGATTCCGGTGTCTTTCTATTCAGATGTATATATTCGAAGTTAATCAGTGTTCTACATTTTTAAAAGCGGTCACTTTTACACGACTGTTAAATATATGGTGAGCAACTGTGCGACGATTCTAACAATGGCTAAAATAACACCCTATATTCAAGAAATAGAGATTGAGACGACCTAATACAGAATCTGTTGTTCAAGTGTAAATTCGATTATACTACTATGTCCTGCTGATGTTTTTTTTATTTATATGTATAGAGAGAAAGATCAAAAAGAGGCAAATCTATCATCACCATTAACTATGAACAGCACAACCAAAACAATAGTAAGAATGAGAGTACTGTTGAAATGATCACTATAGTGATTAATTAAACGTCTATTGATAGAAGGTGAATATATCATTAATGTATAAAAGCATGCTGTGTGCTCTTACAAAACAAGTTATAGTCTAGCGAAACCTCCTGAATAAAAATAATAACAATGGTATATGAGATCTAGGCTCAAATTGAATAGCCAGTAAAATAACAATAATCTCTACCATTATTTTGCATTAGAAATTAGATGGGTAAGAAATAGAAGCAACTTTATATTTGGTTATGGTTGGTTTAAGATGATTATATACAAAAGAGAACCTTGGAAAAATGAGAAAACGAATTATTGATATATAACAAATAACAATTTTACGCAGTGACCGACCTTCCATATAAATAATTGATGGGGCCTGGCATGTTTTGTGATTAATAGTGTTGAACTATACATATATACGTTAGTTTCTATAAACCTTGGAAGATACTGTCATTGTGTAACAAACATTCTATAATGAACCGCCCATGTTCAATTAACTACTGTGTACATGCAATATGATATATATTTTTTTTCTTATTCCTAATTACTTTTAGTTAAATATCTGTCTTGAGACACTTGATCTGAGTTACACAAAGTAAAAGAGATACAAAGAGAGAAAGACAAGATAACAAAATGACATGGTTAATGCTAAATAGCTAATTATTCTTTGTTGAAACAAACAGCTGAAAAATACATTTAATTTATGCATTATATTCTTTCGTTTTCGACCATCTGCGTTTATGTTCCGTTTCATTGATTATATGGACGATTATCTCTGTCTATAGTATAAATGATGCTTAGAATAAAGAACTCTATTTTCTCTCTTCTTTTTTCGCTTATTTCAATCAACATCTATATCATAATGATAATAATGAAGTTCATATCAACTTTAATATACAGTCGTCGAGTTGAGTAGAATAATAAATCTAAGAATATTATTCATGTTTTTCATACAACATTAATGGTAAGATTATACTGTTGTACGTATAACGCAATTGATCTGATAAAATGAAAACAGTCTAATGTCTAGGTTCATTTAAAATGAAAATTATATAGTTGAAGTGATCTAGTGTGTATTTGATCAAACATTAAATCGTCACATGTTCATTACAAAAAGTTATTAATAATTACTGATAATTAGTAGCGCATTTTCTACACTATTGTACACAAAGTTCTAAAAGAAATATTAAATCTCCGTTAGTTTAAGTTATAGAAAAGTGTCTAGTTAATTAAATACTATCTAACCGAGAGATAGTGAGCAATTAAAATCCTTTTTCTATATTTTTGAAATTACAAATTAATTTTTATAGTAAAAAGTTTACTATTCCACCTAAGCAAAAATGACCCAATTCTTTGGATTATCAATCTAGATAAATAACCCAAAAAATTGGGTCATTTTTGCTTGAGCATAGAAAAACATCCTAAATTATCGACCAATATCTCTATACTCAGTCTATTTTATGAAATTGCATCATGTTCTATTCGTGTTAACTTCAAGCAAAACAACAAGCAAACTCATTTCTTTGAAATAGTCTCTTTTTATGAAAATGAAAACTTTTGTTCAAACGAAGAGAAAACCTATGCGTCAATTTTATTTTTCGATTGAAAAATATTTATAATGGTTTGATAAATGTGTTTTTGTTGAAATAAAGAATCACTTTAGTTTTCATAGATAACGCGAAAGATAATAATCGTAAGCACTATATTGTTACTATACGAAGTTTAATAGACTTTTAAATCAAACCTTCTGTCACTTTTTCTATCTATAATTCTATCTACAATACGGTGTTTTTTTCTCTTGTTGTACTTATTGTAGTAAACAAGAGAGAAAACGGCAACGAGCGGACACTAAAACTGTACAAATTTGTTTTTCTTCTCTTTCTCTATCAAAAATGTGAATAGAACGCGATACAAAGATTTTATTTGAATTTAAGAGAAAAAAAGAAAAAGGAAGTGAAAATTCTTCTTTGTTATTGAACAGTCTTTTTTTTTATCGTAGCAGGCAGATATATTTGAATCGTCAAATTTCACGTCATGTACTCGCAGAGTCCTCTTCTAATTGGCACCATTTAACGTAAGAGAAAAAAAAAGAAGCGAAACAGAAAAAATAATCACTTTCTTGCAATATGAATTCTAGACCACTGGTCACCGTTTCATTTACACATTTTTGCTGTTAAAAAACATAAAACATTAGAATAATAATCATTAACAAACAAAAAACAGAATAATGCTTTTTGTTTTTTCTCTTCTTGTTTCCTCAATATGTATACATTCTATGTATGTATAGTAAGTAGCTTAATAATACTTCTGTTCACATAGCTAAAGAAAGAGACCATTAAAAGAAAAAGTGCGGATGATGGTGGTACCAACTCTCTTTCTCTCTCTTCTTATCACATTAAATGTACATGTATGTATGAATATATTGTATAGTATTACATCATAGATGTGCGTGTGCATGTCAGTTCATTGAAAATTTAAATTCATTTTCTTTATGCTGATGTGACAGCATCATTTATTCTAATCTCTTGATTATTATACAAAGAGGATATACTATTCTAATTAATGGTTGACTTCAAGAAATGAATGGTAATATAGTCGCAGATAGAACTGAGAGAAACGCTGTGTTTGGATAAGAAATGTCTAAAGAAGCCATTTTGTTCAAAACGAGTAAGATACATGGCTTTATATAAAGTGTTAGCATGAAAAAAGCACACTCTCAATATCAACTTATTTTAGGTAAGTCGTACTTGCTGTTAGAACTGTGAAATGAGGAACATAGAATGGTGTTTAACATTTGCAGTTTATAATCTTGTGTTATTTGTGTGCGGCAATTGAGGTGCTTCATTTTTGTTCCTAACATTTCATTTTTTCCCCTACGTAACAGTGTTTATAAGGTTTCTTAACTCTCTTGATCTGCAACAATTAGCTTGTATTTTTATCAAATAAAAATCTGTAAGAAAAGTTCAACGATGAAAGTTAAAAAAAAGAAATTAGTAGACAATTTATCTCTTGATGTTACGCAAAAAATACGGAGAGTATATGAAGTTGTTTTGACAACAATTTGTGTAGTATGTGTATGATTATAAGACAAGATATCTGTGTATAAAAAAAGAGTAAGTTTGAATATTTTCAAACTTGTTCATGCACAGTCCAAGATAGTCAGATTGTGTTACAGTGTTAGTGTTGAGTCATTAATGATTTATTCTAGAAATTATTTATTAATGTAAAATCTATATATTATACGTGCATACCGAACTTCACGTGCATTTTAATTGCCTCACATACATACGTACATATTAGGGGTTTATTCACGTAAAAGTCAACTTTTACGTAAGTCCGTGACGTTTGTGAAATTCATAGCTTTTCAGCTGAGGAACGTACAGAGTAGAATGTCTTATTTTGTAGCTTAAAGATTTTTCTTTCAAATGGTAATTAAGCAAAGTCTAGCGCTAAGCTAAACACCTATCTATAATCGGCGCCAATAAGACCCTTTTGCATGAAAGTGGCGTATATCAATAACGCTATGTCACTTAAAGTAGGCAGCTGCTAGACCTTGCTTAATTACCATTCGAAAGAAAAATGCTTAAGCTACAAAATAAGACGTTACCCAACTCTGTACGTTGCTCGGCTAAAGTGCTGTGAATTTCACAAGACATCACGGACTTACATTTTTTGGCTGATCCGCTTGAACAGGTCGATTACAAGTTTGTCAGTTTTCAGCTATTTTGCATGCTATTACACTTTGTAAGGATTCTTCCCGTATAGAAATGAATATATCGGCATCTCTTGGCAGCCTGTAATAGAGATGAGCATCAAGAAATTTTTAATTTCGAGCTGAAGTCCAGTCTGCATCCAAGGCTACGTTCATTTTCGCACGTACGACACAGAGAAAATCAGAGAATAAATTCTCTTTCTTCTCAACCATTTTATTAGTTTATTAAAGCTGTTCTTTTTCTTTCTCTATCTATAGATCAAATGAACAGGGTGTTAAAAATAAGGCATATTCTTATGAAAATTTTAAAAGTTCCCTCAAAATAGTTGAAAAACCTAGTGTCCAAATACAGTTTGAAACCATGGAGGTACGAGTACAAGTTCACTGAAAAATTTGCGCGAATTAAGCCTCGTCTATTTCTGATCTGTAGGAGCTCTTCTTGCTATTGTTCAAACTGAATACAAACATCTTTTCGAAAGTCTAAACGAGATAGAAGTTTCTTCGTTTTAAAGGCAGAAAATATGCATGCTATTAGTAAACCCCTTTTTATTTGAACTAATCGTCTAAATAAGACTTGTGTAGAATTTTTAACATGATTAATCAACATTATGTGCTTTTTCAACGTTATTTTTGATAATCATCGAGTATCCCATTCATAGTTGACCTCTTCATAAATAATGAGTATGACTATACATGCTAAGTATAATATAATAATAAAGAGAGAATTTTTAAACGTGATATATTTTCAATATGTACATATTGATAAATGTATAAACCTATAAATACAAGTCGAAAAGAACGAGAGATAACTTTTTCATTATTGTAAAAGAGACGAATTGATTATCAACATACATATATCTCCTCATAAAGGCAATCTTTAAACAAAACAAAAAAATCTCAATTTTTTACAATTTTAATATTATAAGAACATTTTTTTAGTGAGTGTTTATTAGAATCTCTAACTTGGAAATCAGAAATATCACATGTTTAGTAGGAGGTGTGTTTTTTTGATTCATTACAGTTGCTGAAATAGTACTAATCGTTAGTTTTCTTTTTCTCATCAATCGTCGTCTGAAAAAATTTGCATTTGTATCTTTTGTGGCTTTTTCTTCCGATGAGAAACTGAAGGATGATCGATAATCGAATGTGTGTAATCATTTTTAATACTTAATGTCAAGTATACTTCTATTTTTGCACCATGAAGTTTCGTATCATGCAATATCATAAAGTGTTTAGCAAACATAAGGACTTATTTTAAAGCCTTGAAATATAATATTCAAACATTTATATGAACAGATATACTGGTAACTAGACATAATTATCTTATTATAATAATTCGGTACTGAAATTAGTTCTCAAGAATTTAATGTAACAGAAATACTGTGAATGAGATTTTCTACAATCGTGATTTCTATGCTATTGCTGACATTTTTGTGTAAGTAGAAATAAAAAATATATTAATTCATTGACTTTCTAATGCTTTCAGACATCTAGTGTTCTTCATCGTAGTAGTGAAAATATGTTTCGAAAACGTTTATTATCAAAATTAAATTTACATCGTATGGAAAATGATGATGATGATCTAAATTTATATTATTGTAAATTTTTAACAAAATTATCAAAAATACTTTTGAAAATTTATTTACCTATCATTACATTTATTTATTTTGTTTTACTTCTATGTGATATTATATCATCATATCACCAACAATCAATATCAAAATTGAAAACAATTTTACTATTATGTTTAATTATCTTAAGTATCCTCATATTAATCTTTGCATATTTATCAAGAATATGTTGGCATTTAATACGTTTAATACTCGTTCTATTACTTTTTTGTTTACCATTGACATCAATATTTAATGAAAAACAACAAAAATTTCAATTATCCTATTCACTTGTACATTCGACTCTAGCTATTACATTGATATATTCATTATTTTCATTTAAATTGATACAATGTATTATTATTGGTATCACTCTTTCAATTATTCACTTAATATTCGCTTTAAAATCTCTAACATCGTCAATATCGTCAAGTGTAAAAAATGGTGAAATATTATTTCTTCTAATTTATCATATTATTATTAATCTATTTGGAATTATGAATTATGTTTATTTACTTAAACATATTCGACTTTATTTTCGACTATATGAAAAAAATTTGTATGAAAAAAATAAATTTAATGTTGACTGTAAAAAATTACAAACAATTTATAACAATTGCCATCATCAATCAATAATAGCCAATGAATTAACGAATAGGTATATATTCTTTTAGCAGATAAACGAGATTTTCATATTTACTTTTCAGAAATATTTCTCAATTAATACAACATTATATAAATTAACTCTAAATATATGACTTTTAAACAGTTTGTCTTCGATAATTTTTGATTTTTGATCATTAATTCTGCGTTTGAGTTTTTCAACTTAAACTGTTGCTGAAATATAGCAGAAAACCGATTTCATAGATGGGATGCGCTATCTGTCAAAACTGTGACTAATGTCTATTCACTGTTTATTCAAAGAAATTATTAATCTATTGACTATAAATATAAAACTGTTTTCAAATATTGAATTTTTAGTTTGGAAAAGTGTCAGTATATTCGAGGACAATTTATGAGAAGCGTTCGTAAATATCTTTGTAACTATATAAGTTAGCAAAATCCAATTTAATCTGTAACATATTTCTGCTTATCTAGAAAATATTAGCTGTCAAAATTGAACTGTGTAAAAGTTAATGTTTTTGTATTTGATTCATAATGATTCATCATTTGTTTTCGTTTTAATTTAACTATATGTTATGTTTGAAATTGACAGTCGCACATATCAATATTTGAATACTAAGAGTGTCGGTCTATTTGGACTGTTATATCTTCTTTTTTTTTCTTTTTGTGTTTTAACAGTCAATATACTAATCCATTCGTTAATAATTATTGGTTTATGGATTCTCATTATACTAATGGCGATATAGATCAGAAGAATGAAATAAATAATGATTGTCATTGTGAAAAATCATTTGGTACATGTGTGGCTTGTAATATAACAATAAATGAAAATTGTAATTCACATACAAATGAGGAAATTGCCACATTATTAGACGTTTTATATTCTCAAATTGAACAAATACTATTAAAACAGAATACTGATTATTTTACATTTGATAATGAAGATATTCTATTTACAATAATTAATAAAGATAATAGAACAACAATTGAAATATGTTGCTTATTAGCCATTGATATTCTACGTTTTATAACACACGTTAATAATGTCACACAATGGTCATTGTCAATAACATTTGGAATTGAGACAGGTGAATTTGTTATAATTAAAACAAAACAAAATAAAGATGATAGAATTTTATTTATTGATGGTGAAACCGTTGATAGAGCACGATGGTTATGTAATGAATGTTGTATTCAAAATAGAATACATGTATCATTAAATATTTATGATTATTTGAAATACAATACGGAATTTTATGAATTTCATTCGGTATGGAATAATAAAAAAATTAAAAATCCTACTTATTTTTTATTTACAACAAATATGTACAAACAATTAACAACATTATTACCTTTAACAAATACAATGGTTGATCAATTATCAAGAATACAAGCACAATATCATGTTGAAAAACATTTAGGTTAGTTATCTATTACTTTAAAGTTTATAGAGCATTTCAAAATAGGAAAATAATCGCATAAGATAACTATTGTACTATATGCTACGAAAAAGCCTAGACCTTGACAGTTGTCCATCCTCGATAATTTTATACGGATCCAGTTGAGCTCACGCGAGAGGCAGCGAATAAGTTCCAAATTTTTGTTTTTTCTCGGCTTACTATACATGGATCGAAAGCCCTCTCCTTATCCAAGAAAAGCAGACAGAGGGTTAGAAAAAATAATGTATCAAAAAGTCAGTCTTACCATCATGTTAGATGCAGACATGATGGTAAGTAAAGAACTGTAAGACTGGTTCGGTTGGACCCGTAAACAGCTGTGGAGGGCTAGCCGGATCATTAATTTTATATAGATTTAAAATTCTTTGATAAAGAGAAGATGAGATGGATAGTGTGAGCATACGTCTGATCTCCAACTCATGTATTGAGTCTAAGCTAATTATATACATATCGGCCATTCTAGATAATTCATTCGAAAACGTGATTCCGACACTTTTTTACTATTTTTCTTGTCGTCATATCTCTCGAGCAAAAAATGGCCGATATAAACTTATATCTACTGCTCGATCTATAGTTTACACACAATAGTATCCCTATATGTCACTAATGTCAGATTAGATTTCTACAATTAATCTAGACTGAATTACTTAACTGTCAAACCACGTTCGATAAGTGATGGTTCATTAATCGAATAACAAATCATACTGATTACTAATTTTAATCTAAAGAAAACATTTTTTCTTAAATGTATGACTGTGATGAAGTGGCTGGATCTTGATACTTTTCGTCTATATCAATTCGTCTTGATACTTACGTCTCAAGTACAATTAGTCTCCTGCTTTGAGATGAACAATTCGTTTTTTTTTGTCGTTATGAATTATTTATTAAGGACATTTCGCTCTCATTCCTTTCAAAATGCAACAAAGTTAAGCAATGAAATATTTTTCAACAAAAAGCCTTACAACGTGTTATCCAGCCTTCTCAAGAAAGTCATGTTCATAAGATTCTTATCTTAAGTGCTTAAAATATCGTATGCATGAATTGCTTGAGTTATTTCCTGAGTAATTTTCACCCTACATGTTTTGCATGACTAAAAGTAATATGTGCGTGGAGACAAATTTTCATATGACTGTCTCGTGTGCATAAGAAAAAAAACTTCACCGGGAAATGTAACGGCCCAATGTTAGATAATAGAGAATGAAGGTGCTTAGGGAGAGTGGGAACATCTAAGATATTTCTGCAATGTTATGACTGCTAGTCCTCCAGTTTTAAATTATTTTTATTCTTCTTCTCGCACGCACATAGAGAAATCTTCCTATGTGATACTTGTATTTTTTAACATTATCAGACTCGTGTTATAATTCTTGAGTGCTGACTCTACTCTACTCTCTAAATTCGTTGCGCTCATTTCGAAATATAACCTGAGTTCTCAAAATATCCCATTGAATATTTTTGATATCAAAAATTTCCTTTTCACATGTTAACTAGTTTTTAATGCATTTAACAGCATTAAATATCAATCAACTTGCATGCATTAACTGACTGAAAAAAACTCAAGGGGGAAAGCACAGAATCCTGAAATCCTGAAATTCTATAGAATCTAGTAGAATCGGGTGGAATCTGGTGAACTCCGATGGAATCTGGTGGAATCCGGGATTCTACACTTCTCCCGAAACAGAACAAAAGTGCTCTATATTTTGGGGAACTTTCCCAAAGACAGAACATTTTGTTCTGTTTTGGGGAGAAGTTCCAGGGAATCCAAGGGAACCTTATGGATTCCAAGAGAATCCTATGGAATCCAGGGCAATCCTTGGAATCCGAAGGAATACTGGGGAATCCTTGGAATCCTATAGGGCCGTAGAGAATCCTTGGAATCCAGGAGAATTCAGGATTCTAGGATTCCGTGCTTTCCCCTTTGAAAAAGCTTCTGATACGTTTATATGCATAAAATTTAGCATACCAAAAATAATTGATTAGAAAAAGTTATTAATGCGTTATAACAAATTAAAATAGGTTGTTTAATGCATTAGCCTAACGAAAAACCGCGTTTTAGTCTTATATTAAATTATTTTAACGCATTATGTGCGTTAAAATGAAATTAACGAAAAACGTTTTTAACGCGTTCTGATGATTTTTGACTTTAAACGTCTTAAAAAATTAACGCTATTCAACGCATTAAGAATTTTAATATATTCAAATGCATTAAAATTATTAATTCATAAAAATACATTAAATGTTAATGCATTTGATTGCATTCATGGACGATTATATCGAGAGAAGGCCGTCAATTTTTGTGGAAAAGTATCTAGATTCTCTGCAGTATGTCGGATTGAACAGAAGCAATCGCTCCAAATCAAATTTTTTGGGAGGAATCCAATGGTCACGTTAGAAAAAGGAAAGAACGCTTTCTTATAGAATACTAGCATCATTTTTGTTTTTATAAAAAGCATTAATGCGTTCACATTTATTAATTTCTAACTCCTATGAACTTATTAGACTACTCTTAAAACCTGTGAGTATATTAAATAGAAGAAAAACATTTGTAATGCATTCGAATGTGTTAAATGATTTCACACACTTGAATATATTAACTGTTAAGGCATATGAACGCATCAAATTAATCTGAATTCATATGAATCCACTAAACGGATAAAATTTTTTTTATGCATTCGAACATGTGAAAAAAAATATAAGAAGTTTAAATATGATACACCCAAATGCATGAACTTTTAAGATATACGAAGGTGTTAAGAATTTTTTTATGCATTTAATGAGTTCAAAGGTATTAAATATACAAAACGTAGATTTTAATTCATTCAAAGGAAATTTTTTGCATAAAAAAAACTCATTGGATATCCTATCGGACCATTTACTAAAATTCCTATATAGCTGACTATTCTGAAGAGATGAATGTAGTCATAGTTTTATAGTCTCATATCTTTACAGGAGTATACAAGTTCATATAATAGATGGTAGTATATGTGCTGGAATTTTATTCACTCTTTGCCTATAGAAAATTCAATCAAATTTCATGATAAAGTCATTGTTTTTCGGTCAAAATGTATATTTAAAAAAATTCTTGATCGATATGAACTCAATGATCTCAGTTTTAAGCAGATGACTACAGCAGTGTTAGATGAAGAAAAATAACTTTTCAGCTCTAATGTATAAATGTTTTCATTCACCTCTCACAAGAGTCTTATTGTTTAGGTACTATTACATTGACTCGATCATTACGCAAACGAAGTTTATTCGATTTAACATCAAAACATATTAATTGGCTTACATTAAATCTAAAATCAAATTCTTACAGCAAGAATGAAAATGACACTCATCAGAATTGTAATAGTTCATTATTATCATTTAAAAAATATCATCGTGCCACAAAATTTTCTCTACTTACATTTATTTATACCTTACTTATTCTATGTGGTTTACTATGTCAAGCATTTGTCATAAAAAATTTTACCTATTACTTTTTTCTATTCTATATATGTTCAGTGTGTACACTATTTGCTATTATTATATTTTTTTATTCAGTTCAACAGAATATCAGTAAAAATTCTGTTAAATTTTATGTTTATATCAACATTCTTATTTGTGTTACATTAACAGGACTTTTATTTATTACCATCCAATGGCATAGTGGATATAATTTTCAACAATTCTATACACAATTACGACAATATAATAATTCAATAGTAAATAATTCAAACATAAATATTTCACAAAATCTTTCTATAATAAGGTAAGCATGAGTAATCTATCATTCTTGAAAAAAACAAAACATCGTCAATATCGATTTATTTTTAAACTCTAGTTATGACAATGATGAAATAATGTTGTATCATCGTTATTATGATTATTTAATCATTTCATGTATGTTTCCGTTATATTTTTGTGCCTCTTATCGTCAATGTTCATGGTTAATTAAAGCGTTTCTACTATTTTCCTGTACATTAATTCAACTGTGTTGGTTGCAATATGTTTGGCATAATTGTTTATATAAATTCGTCTTACATATACATCATTATACATTGATCTCATTATTAATTATTCATACATATTTGTTAATTTTAATATCATACTTGAAAGAATGGTTAGAAAAAATCGATTATATTTGGTTAAAATCCATTATATCTGATCGTTATTTTGTTTATAAACAACGTGAATTGCATATAAAACAGTGTTTAACAGTAATACCAAAACGTGCAATTGATTATTATTTACAATCAGATTTAGAATCAAAGACAGGTACATTAGCTCAACATTATCATTGTAAATACGATCAAATGACTCTATTATTAATTCAATTTGTTAATGTTGATGAGGAACGAACAAAACTTGATCAATTAACAAAAACAAAAATTTTTTATAATCTATTAAAAGAAGTTTATTCTATAGCAAAAACTGATCGATTTTCAAATATATCAGTCAATGTAAAATCATTTGTTTATCAAATATTATTTTCAATAAATACTGAAAATGATTCTACAAAACGTTTACAACAATTAGTTGAACTATTATTTATTATACAAGAAAAATTATTATCAAAAAAAAAACAATTAGATTTGAATATTAAATTGAGTGCGTGTATTCATATTGGAACAGTGAATGAAATATTACTACATTTAGAAAAACAATTAAAAACAGATTTATGGAGTGAACATATTACACTAATAAACAGACTATTGATCAAAACACAACCAAATCATTGTCTAGTAACATCAACAGCATATACACTATTAAAAGATCTCTATTTATTTCGAACAGCAGGTACTATAAAAAATAATGATACAACAACATTTCAGATTTATTATCTTCTTGGACGACTTATTGGCTATAATATATTTCAGGTAATATTTTATATGAGACGTATTTTATTTCTTATCGTTTCGATTGTTAATAATTTCCACTAGATTAAGGATACTCGCAAAAGAATGAAAATGTTTTCTAATTTTGAGTCTGATATATTTACATAAAAATTTAAACTCTGTCACATCGAATATAATTAAGCCCTGTCTTGACGGCTACTTGACTCGATAGCATTTAAGCAAGCGTATACCACGAATTTATTTTCAAGAAGAAAATAAAAAGATGAAATATAGACGACATACACGAAAAAAGGAACACTCTGAAGGAAAGATGATTTGTGTGAAGAGGAAGGGCAAAAGAGAAAAAGTTGAGCTTTTATATTCGGATAAACTATACAGAGAGACTATTATTATTGTTTTAGATCGTTCTTCTATACGTCTTCACTATACAAGATAAAGCTACGATAAATGCGAACAAAAACTAGGTCCTATTTGGTTTAAACTTCTTAAAAGTTTTTTAAAAGTCTTCCTGGGTGATTTTTATGCACGGCAGATCTGCAAAAATCTTGGCAGATTCTCCAAAGTTTCTGCAAAGATTTTTGGAGATTAGCTTGTTGTGGGTTCTGGAAAACGAAAGCTTTTCTGATGTTCAAAAGAAAGTTTCTTTCACTAACTCTGAATATCTAAGGTAATATATAATATATATATATATATAAGGGAATATATAAGGTACAGCATTGTAGCTCAAAAATTCTTTCTCAGTTTCGTGAGATATATTTTATATATTGTACAAGAGATAAAGTATTTTCAATAATACCGTTAGATAGACTAAAGTATGTTCTTCAATGAGACGTTTTTCAGTTTTTAGAACCATTCGGTTTGCAACATCTCCGAAACACGTAATATGCCATCTTTTTCGTATTTTTCCACAGTATTTGTTTCTACTAAGATAAATTTTTGAAAGGAGAAGAACTTGATTGATGTAGACAATCGATATTTCTAATGTAAATAAAAGAAATAATATATAACGCCGCATTCTTTAGTTTCTGAAAATATTACGTCGTTAATCATCTTCACTTTTTTAAAAATGTGAAGTTTTAGAAAAAAACTATTTGTTTTTTATTTAATTTCTAGTATTTACATTTCTTTGAACTTAATACGATAAAATTTTTAAAAACAAAGAAAGAAGAATACATCATATTATGTATTCTCTAATTGTTCGGAAAGAGTAGAGGTGTCCTTAGGTGTTCAACAACTACTAACCGTTACATGATTATTTTCCATATTCTATAATTCTAATTTAATAAATGGTTCTTTGATAAATACGTCTATTACATTAGTGATTCGATTAGGCAATATATTTTTCTTCTTATCATCATGTCTTAGTTCTCAGAACAATATAATATATTACTGTTGAACTTTGAAAAGAAACCCATTTGCTATTCTCTATATCATTAAGATAACATTACAAAAATTATTCCATCTAAATTCTTCTTCTTCATCTTTATTTATCATCATACTGTCATTTGTTGTATCTCATGGTCATTTTTTATTTATCTTTGTGATTGTTGTGTTCTTCTGTGTATGAGAAAATATCATTTTTCTTATTATTTTCAGGGGCGTAATGCACTCCCATTGAGTATTGGTATAACATCTTTCTTAAATACTGTTCAAACATCAACAAGTACAGATTCCGGTCATTCATCTCATTTACGTCCAAATAACACAAAACCCACGACAACAACATCAACATCAACAACTTCATCTTCAACTGCTGAACAAACATTGATTGTCCCATCAGAAAAAATAGTAGATGAAGGAGAAGAACAAAAATCGCAACAAAGATATGCTCTGATTGATTCATCATTGTCATCAATGGTTAAAAATAATTTCAAACAATCATCCTATATAAATCGTGGTACATTGTTACATGCATTAACCGGTTGTGGCGATAATATAAATTATCAACAAATAAATATGAAAGTAAAAAAATTTTGTTTACGTTCAAATAAAAGTTCATCATGTTCACCATCATTAAATAATGAAAATGATAATAATTGTCTTCATATAAACACTAAATATACACCACCATTTATCTTACATTCATCAACAACAAATAGTCCAATTGATTCACTCGAAAAATTATTACCAAAAGTAGTTCATATCAACGATAATTGTTGTTGGTCATCATATGAAGAAGCGCAAAATATCAACGGTGGAAATATGAATGTGGAAATTGACTATAGTCCAACAGAGGGAGGCGAAAATAGCTCTGGAAAATGTTTAATATTAACACAAAATATGTTAACAGGAAGTTGTCAGTCAGGTAAATAAAAACTGTAGTTCTTTATTTGTTACCACACTGTCCATACAGTACCATAGTTCTTGTTTTCACTTTCGCGAAGAGTTGAGCTATTTTCTTTGTTTCCAGATGATATTTGCTCAAAATCAAGTCCATCTAGTTATAAAAATCAGCAAACGAAAATATTTGAACGAAAAAGTTTTACTGAAGAAGATTTTCGACAGCTTCTTTTGGATAAAGATACGACAAAAGAAAATAGTCTTTCAACAACGAACGAAGAATTATCCTCTTTCTCATGGAATGAAAGTGATAAAACTACAAGCGATAAAAAACAAAAGTTCAAACACAATAAGAATTATCATGTACCAGTAATAATGTGTCAAAATGATCAATTACTAATTGAAGAAAAAATAAAAACTCCACCATCACACATTCGTTCATCGTTAGATTGTTATTTTCCACGACAACCATCTGATTTATCATTTACTGTCAATATGAGTACAACAGAAGATGAACAAAGTACCGAAACAAAATCAACATTAGTTTCGACGACACCACATACTTATTTGAAAGCAACATCGCCAGTAAATATGAATGTAACAGCAAGTACATGTTTAACACCAAGGAAAATCTCACCAATATCCACCGACGTTATAGAACATCCAGTAGAACAATGTATCATTTATCAAAAAAAAAAGAGCACTCCTGTTCCACTGTTGGTTCGACATAGTCGTTTAAAACCTCCTATGGTTCATCACCGTAATAAACCATCACGTAATTTAGCAAGAAAATTAATTGAAGAAACGTCAGACACATCTGAAATATCATTGCTCGATAGTATTGATGAGAAATATTCAAAAGTTGTAGAAAAGAAAAAAAATAATAATAGTCGAGGATTATGGAAAGAAAATTACGTATATACAAGGCCATTAACTGTTCCTAAAAAAGATCGTGTACGTTTATCATCTAGTTACAGCAATTTACTGGATTTATTGCAACGAGAAGAAGAATGTTCGCATAATGATCAAAAGTAACTGACAACATAGAAGATACCTCTCTTAAGTTATTTCAATAAACTAAGTTGGTTTTTTTATTCTATTTTTAGATATTTGGTTTCACCATCTGAAACAAATGAACTTTTACAACGATGGTTACAAGATCAATTGATTATGTTTGAACATCAAGTAAAACAGCAACTACCTACTACCATTCAGAATAATTCTGATTCGGATAATGAATCGGACACAATCAGTGAAAATACATTTACACAAAAACTTCCATTATTTAATTCTACAACAGAACCTACTAATACTGAAGGACAATTGAACAACAACAACAACAACAAGGATTCTCCTCACCGGTATAATCGCATTAAACATAAACAACAACCATTACAATTCGGTGAGACGAAAAAAGTTGTTCATAGTAATGTTCGATATAAAATCTTGAGAAAAGCACATTTAGTTCGACATGAATCATTGAAAAATCGTAATAGACCACTGTTATTGAGCTCATCATTTTTATCTCCACAATCGTCGACTAATCATCATCGTCATCATACAAAAATACCGTGCAATAATATTCACGAAACATGTCATAGTCGAAATAATGATTCTTCGGAACATATATCAAACCATAGTTATTGTGATAAAGATGTATTTTGTACGGATTCATCGATGCCTCGATCAGATACATCTGATTTTTCGCAACCACAACTATCTGAAAGTGTTATTAGTAATTTAGAATCAGAATATGATAATTATCAGCCAGAACAACAAATGTCAAATTCACAAATTTTGAGTGATGATGATAATCGATCATATTTGTAGTTTTCATGTTTTGTTTGTTTTCTTTTTCTGATACGTCTTTTTATTTTATCATGTATGCTGTTATTGTTTCCTTATTAAACGTTCAATAATGTTGTTTCGACAAATTCAGTTAAATCGTTCAAAATTTGAGAAAACAATTACTATTATAACGTTTCATTCATTTCCAAGGATAATTTTTTTGGTAAAACTTGTGAAAAATTCACTACGATAGTTAAGAATCACCCTATAAAAAAATTCCAGTGCGGTACTGTAGTGCGCATGGCATACCATCGGTCACTGGCTGGCACCGGTGCGCACCCGTACCGATATATTTCTGCCGAAAGAGCGCCGCACTGGCAAAAATCAGTGCCGCATGGGCAAAACTCGGTGCCGCACTGATAATTTATTTAATCAATTTAATTAGTTCTTTATTATGGTTGTTATTGCTGAATTTTGTATTAGAGTGCGGCACTGATCAGTACCACATCGACATGCCAAAACCATGCAGCATTGCCTCGGTACTTCTCTTATGAGAAGGAAAAGATGAAGTCAGAAAGACATTCGAAATATTAGAACTAGACTACAGCGTTAATATAGACAGAAATTGACAAAACAAAACTTCGGCACTGGTGCGAGACTTTTACATTCTTTTACCCAGAAAAAAATTATTCGGCACCGGTGCGCACCCGTGCACAACCAGTGTTGATAAAATATTTTTTTGTAGGATATCTAATTTATTTCTAAAACTCCAAGATGATCGCAAGGAAAACTAAAAACTTTTCTGAACATAAACTGATAAAAAATTGGCAGAACAGCAAGCCTCGTACTGACTTACGCTCAGGTTATAACTACCACATCATGATCCAAATGTTACATTGAAATAAAGAATAAAATGTTAAAAACAGTAGAATAAAATCAATAAAACCAAATATATTTCAGTCAGATCTGAACACAAGTTGTGTTGATTAAAACAATATTAGTATTTCCCTATGTTTTGTCTTATAACTGTCTGACTTATTTTCCGCATTTTTTTTTTTATGGAATCTGTGAAAATGAGAAAAACATTTGGTTTTACGGTCTTCTCTTCCTATTATCAATGCTATTGGTTGTAGTCAATTTTACATCCACTAACCTCGTTTCGAAATTTTTCAGTTAGTCACAAATTTAGTTTATATGTATTTTACTCTTCTTTTTGAGCCTGATTTTAAAAATCAAACTTCTAATATTTTATTTTCCCGTTTAAAAATTTAAAAGTTAAGTTATTTCTCATATTTTTCATTTCTTTGATTACTGACTTCTGTGTACTATGAAATAAAGAACTAGAACAGATATAACACCTCATCAGTATCGAAAGATCAAAAAGAAGGAATAAAATTAGGTTATGTTAACTGGAAAATGAGTAATTGTTTTGTTAGTAATTGTCAACAGGTTTTGAAACTTCAAAATTATTGCTGGAGAGGTGAGTTTCCTATAGGGAGAGGTGAGTTTCCATGTGCCGTCAAACTTGTAGTTCTTGAATCCGTTTTTCATTTACTAAAATTTTAATTGATTTCATTTGAACTAATAGACACAAAAAATGGTGATTGCTTTGTACTATCCAAAAAAATTATAAAAATATGAAGTAGTTACCTGCTAAAACTAAGACTGATAAAAAATTGGTATGTCGTCAGAGCCCAAAACGAATCAAATGCTTCAACTACTTACCGAATCGAATCGAATTTGATTTTTGAAACACGAATCAACCGCTCAGTTAAAACGCTTTTGTCAGCCTAAGCTACAATGACATCGTTATAAAGTAACAAAAGCACCATGTCGTTAGAAAGAGAAATATATAATATCTTTTATAAAGTTATATTTCTGGAGGAGTTATTAAGATATCTAACCAAATTCATTTTCAAAGATTTCGTGTATTATGATCACAACCATTGTCGTTCATTATTCATACTATTCTTTCTTTCACTGTCACCATTCTAAATCTGTTCGTATTTCACTTCCTTTTAAAAGGAGCAAATAGTTTTCTCTTCTTTGTTTTTATTCGGTTAATTTAAATAATTAAAATTTTAGACGGTTAATTGAAATAATCTTCCAAAGTCAGTCATTCGTTTTTCTTCTTTAACATCATTGAAAAAAACGCTAGTTTAATATCTTTTACAGTAGCCGTTCGTCTTTCGTTCTAGTTATGAGAAAAAACTCTGTTAGCTATTTTCTTTTTTTTATTTATTTGTTTTTTTATATTATTCTCTTAATTGTGTTAGCATACTGATTTTATTTTCCTCTATGTTGCGGATATTGTCTGATCTCCTGATAGCCATAAACTGTTCCAATACTCTAGTGGCGTAACCAAGGTACGGCGGCCGCCGTACCTATTAGTACTTTCGCCGTACCCACTGCAGAATGTGGCAGACACTACCTCCAAAAAGTTTTGGGAGGCGGTACGGCCACCGCCGTATCTATAGCCAGTTTCTGGTTACGCCACTACAATACTTACGCTTTTAACGGTATCCTCTAATATTAGGCATGGGATGCTCATCTATTGTAACTAAATTCAGTTGCCAATAACCAACGCATATAGTCGTAGAGTTTCGTCCTTTTTTTTAGTAGACCGCTATTGATGACAATTATGGCGAATTTGTCTATTTTTCAGCGTTGTAGCCAATTCATCTGTTGTAATCGTAGTGCACTTGGATAATTGCCAATGACCAACAATGAATTTGACAATAACAATAATTCATGATATTATGCGTTTGAATGAATATTACGATACACATTACAAGCACCAACTGTCATAAAATAATAGGATATTAGATCTAAATCCTTTTAAAGGCTTTTTTTCGTGGCACGGTATAACATGCCTCCTAACTTTTTTCTTATATACGGCAGAGTTTCTGAACGCGCTTGCGTAAAAGAATAGGAAAAAACAAGTTTGATCGGTTTATAACAAAACTAGTGACTTCATAGATTGATTATTACTTTCTATATTTTGTTGTCCATCATTATGAAAGTGTAACAAAAAAGATGTAAAAAACACACCTGACATTAAGTATAAATATAAAAAAACGATATATGCACGAAAAGATTACCTTTCAAACGACAACAAAATTATGTTCATTTTCATAACAAAATTCTAGAAAAACGACTTTAACAAGTTAAATAGTAAAAAAGTGGAATGTACCAAAAAAATGCTTGTGAAGATTATGTATCTCCTACTAAAAATACTTCAAAAAATGAGCCGAATAATTTATGTACAGAACAATAGCTGAGAAGAAGAAATAACGCACAATTTTGCTGTTAATGAATAAAAGCAGTAGCGTATGTACAAAACAATTGTGACTCAAAATATGTCGGCGTAATGTGGACAATTCATATTAAGATCATTCGTACACAACAATGAAGAATTAAGAAAATTATTGAAAGATGTATAACGAAAAAAGTGTTATCATTAATAGAAAAAATGAGATTTTTTTTAACGAAGTCCTATTACATCCATCACGATTTTCACAATAGCATACAGCTACTTCTAAACCGTATTCGTCAACAAAATAACGACATCCTTGGGCCACACCTAGAACAGAAACAGCTTTGCTATAAAATGAATAAATTCTGACTTGCTAAAAAAGCAAAGGTCATTCGATCTATGAGTTTCCTTTATTTTTAACTTTATCTTTAACAGTAATGAAGATTAAAATGAAAATGACAAATTTACCTAAAGTTGATCGAGAGGCACACGAACGTATCACAGTTTTAAATCCTTTTGCTAAAAGAAAAATGATAACATAATAGAAGAAATACAAAACATCAAGTAACAGTTACCATAAAGTGTATCATAAGATTCTTTAACCATTTTCATACACATATGACCAGGCACATAAGATTCTAAACTAAAACAATCAACTAAAGCATTTTTTGTTTCATCAAATTTTCCATATGCAGGGCAAAATTCATCTTCTTCACTACTACATTGATAACATTGTATTGCAAATACTAAAATATATATAGAGGAAAAATTTTTGTTAATAAGTCAGAGGTACATAACGTACGTACTAGATGTGAACAGAGAAATCAGTAACAACACACAAATAAATAACAAATTTGTCATTATCTGAAACTGTAGAAATTCAAAGATGCTAGATAGATTTTAGAATGAAAAGATATTTTGTTGTTTTAACACTCAACGATCCTTATAGAGTCGATTAAACTGATTAATATACTATAACTTGTTGAAGGCAAAGCAACATAGATTATATTGATGGACCTCGAGTTTACCACTTAAGAATATTTCTACACAACTTATTTCCATTGATTATAAGTTAATGTTTTGTATTTTATGTAAAGAAATGAATCTAAAGAAGGAAAATTCCAAGTTGTTAAAATTTGGATATATCCCAACTAAATTTCTACTGGTCATAATTGTAATATTTTTTTTATAATCAATCTTCACCTAACATATGTTAGACAACAAGATCAGAAGAAAAAAAGAAAAAGCCAATTACTCCTTGGATAAATATATATATATATATATATATATGCTTGGAAAAAATAAACGAGACAAGATAAAAAGAAAAAAAATTCTTTTTGAAAGACAAAAAGTATAAAAACGAGGAAATATAAATTGAAAACGGCTTTTATTAATTTTTATAAAATAGTTTCAAGTAATTTATGAATGATCAAACGGAAATGACAGGTACATTAAATATAAATTTCTTTTTATCATAAAATTGACTAGATGAACCACGTGTCTAGACATAATAGTCTTTTCATTCTCATTATGTTAATATCTGCAGCTACTTTATTCCAAAAATATTATATGTTATCTGATATGTGTTAAAATAAAATAAAATTATCTGATTTATTTTCAGCTAAATGCTCCTGTTGTTTATCAAGACTTGCAGGAAAACATATTCAATTTGCCATACGTAGTCAACCATTCACTTCAACAACAACTCAAAATGCCAATCGACCATGTACAAAATGTTATGCACATATGATAAATGTTGTCAAGGCAAAAATGAGTTCAAGGTCATCTTCATTGTCTTCCGATAGCGATATTTTTATTAATCAAGACGAGATATAATAGTGTTATACAACAGCATTTGTTAACTCAATTTAACATACAAGAAATACGCAGTTTCAAATGTTTTTGTTTTTTCCCCGAATAAATAATTCTAAAACTCTCGTTTTTTCCGTAATTTCCGTCAAAATCTCCGTCGTATCGATATACTGTTAAACATTAACGAAACTTATGTGAGCTAGTAGAGGTTGATAAACTGATAATAACTTTAATCATCATTGGATTCACATGTTTAATCAGTAATTGGAAGCAATTCAATGTGTCTACTTTCATCCAAATTTCATTGACGAAAGATCTTATAAGACTTACCGCTAGATATCCAGAAGATGACACACATAGAAAGAGAGGGCCTGTGTTGTTGAAAATACAAGCTATTCTTTTGAGTGCAGTTCTCAGAAATTAGTAGAAAATCTTCCGGTATAAAAAAACTGCGTATGTCCAATTATTGTATTATTTTTTATGTATGATAAATACCTACAAAGATAATGTTTGTCATGACTTTCAGTATTACCAAAAAGTATCTTATGCATCAGTAGGATTTAAAAATTAGTAAACGATGGAATTCTAGTTGAGAACTACTCATACATGGCATCAAACATCTCAAAATCTTTACGATTCACTCATATATAAACAAAATATCTGCCATTTTTGAACGTCACATATGCGCCGTTTCAATGATGCATTTTACAATGTCGCGACGCCATCATCGATCATAACAGAATAGAATTTTATTTTGCATTTATCTTTTGTAGTAAAAATTGCAGAAAACTATTCACGCTTAAAACGAAACTTTTCTAGTATCACCTCAGTTTATTTCTTTTGAGCTCATTTTAAACTAAAAAAAGAGAAATTTTAATAATGCGAAATAGGTGTCCTACATAGTCGATACTTAACAGATTGATCAAAAAAAGTAAACAGAATGTCTTAAACTCTTATCTGATTGATTGGTTCCTCGATGCTTTTGTTTGCACACAAAAGCATTTATTTATATTCTTGAGTTTTATTAAAGTGTATGAAATGTGCCAATTACTTCACTGTGGTGAAAATTCGAATTTATAGTGTAGTATAACATCTGTTAATACAGGGTGTTGAAAAGTTGAAAAAAACCTTTAATAATTCCGTTATTTCTTAATCAAATTGATTCAGCATTGTTTCTTTGTTTGATATCGAAACGTTCCAAGTTTTATTCTATATATTTCGAAATTTTGTTCACACTTGAAAAAATATTTGAAATAATTTTCAGTGTTAAAATAAAGTAGATGACGTCTCTTTCACATAACAAAATAATTCTTTGCTTTCCTTTAGAAACGATTGAAAGACATGTAATTCTTCAGCGATGATTGTTGCATGCCAGCAGCATGAAAAGCGAAAAAAAAATAATAAACAAAATTTTCGGATAAAGGTAACAAATAAAAGAAAAAACAGCTAGTGTAATTTTATACGGAGAAGATAGATCTACAAACCGAACTAGTTCAGAAGTCTGTCGAGAGTTGTACCAGGCTACTACAGAAGTTGAAACTCATGGGTTATTCCAGTAAAGAGAAATCGATGAAACTTTAAGTTAGACAAAACATTTGAATATGTGGCATTATAGAGCAAGCCGTTCTTCAAAACAAGATGTAACACGAGTCTGACAAAAATTCTGTTCAACTACGGTGAGTTCAACAGTCTTAATGCACTCTTATAAGTGCTTATACGAAAAACATGTGTTTTGGGTTTTATTGGTTTCTTTGTCAAACAAAGAAACAATGCTAAAGTTTGATTAAGAAATGACAGGCTTATTAAAGGTTTTTTTTCGCCTTTTTGGACGTCCTGTAATGGCTAAACTAATAGTTGGAGAAAATTAGTGATCAAAAAGACTGGAGTTTAAATTTGTCCTATGAACACAGCAAATATGAGTGTTATTTTTGTGCCATTTGCAGTGAACAGCAAAGCCTCACCCTCACAAAAAAGAGATTTTGAAAACTAAAATCTAATATCAGATTTCTCCAAATCAACCTTAAATATCTTTTCTTATCTTTACCTGAGAAGCTTCTGCTTGAGAAGTACAGTCAGAATAAACTAAAGGCTGTTCAATATAATCTTCTGCTGCAAGTCTTATAAAATTACGAACTTGTTTAGGTCTTTTGGAAGGCGTCCTAAATAAGATTTGACTTTTCTTCATGTACTAGTTGTAGTTGGTTGGCTTCTTGGAACTTCTGCTAGAGTTGATATATTTAATGCTGTTTTGTAGTGCCATCAGCATCTTATGAGAAATTGTTATCAGAATTTTGGGATATAGAAACATGATTTTTCTTCATTCTATAAAGAATGGAGAAAATCACGTTTTTTTCTAGAAACAGAATCCAACTTTTTTTCTAAAATTATTCGTCTTTTTACTATGTCAAGCATGTATGTATCCATCACTTTTGCTAAAAACTGTATGAAACTATATAATTTGTTAAGACGATAATATCATTTTGGATCTACAACTTTCCTATACATTCTAACCTTTCCTATACATTCTAAGATGTATCTCTCAAATAAAGTGTATGAATTTGTGATCATAAAAAATATTTTAGAAAATTTCAAAACATTGATATGATGTCGGAACAGAATTAACAAAATTTTTTTGAAAAATACGTCTAGTATCAGACATTTTTCTCCACGGTAGTATATAGCTAAACGCTGGTATTTTCATCAGATGTAGTACTATTAAAATGGGACGCATACAAGCGTTAAGTTTCGAAATGTATACATTTCGAGCACAAAACTCATTGTAACATTGTTAAAAGGTAAAAACAGCCTTAAGTAAAATGCATTTTCTGAAAGTATAACAGATGCTAATAATAAAAAAAATAATAACAGGTATATAAAATAGTGGATTAAAATCAGTTTTTCAAGTTTTGTCGAACAGTATATTTTTTGTCCAGATATCAATAATCAACCGTGAAGAAAGTTTTATACAGTTTTGGGGAAAATACTGATTTTTCATTAACTTTCAACGTTCATGATAAACGTCGTATGTATTCTTCATTGATCAATATAAACCTTGGACTATATCATTGGTAAAAAAATTTCGAGATGCTGAATCTTTATCTTTAAAGAAATTCTTGTTGAGAGTTGAACCAGATTTTTTTTTCCTCACCTTGTCAGATACTAAAACTGAAAATGTGCGTCACATTCGTAAGCAGGATAAAAACTGATTTTTTTAATAAAAAAACGTTTTAACAAATCAGATAATCTCTGACCATCCCTAGTATTATGTACTTTTCCTCTTACTGTCACATAGTGCTTCTTGAATCTTATCTTCAACCAAAAGAATTTAGTGTAAAAATGTAAATGCGTTGTCTAAGTTATTTATTAATTTTACATAGCTTAGTATTATATGAACATCACACTATCTGACGGAAAATCTAATTCATTTTTAGTTGATTTGAGAATTGTGACTTCAAAACAAAAAGCAATTTTTTCTGTTTTTATCGTTTTGCGTGTTCTGCCCGTATTTTCATACTAAATTCTTTGTCTTCTTTTACCATATTGCATTTTATTGCACTATGAGAATATTTTGAAATGAATTTATATTAGAAGTATGCCACAAATGAACAGAGCAATAACTATTCTGTTTTATTCCCAAACTTTTAATCAAAACAAAGCCAAAAGTGCTTTCTTGATAGTCTTTTTTTTTTATAAAGGGCATATCAGTTATGTTCCTTAAATTTTAAGAATTATTTCACGTTTCCAGCTGCGGTATGGTATTGTGCAAAGCATTGCATCTCTTTCTAGAAGTTTTTTTTCAAATGACATTGAAGAAAAACCTTAAAAATTGAAAAATATTGAATATTATTTTTACTTCACATAAAAATGTTAGTATTTGTTTCTACGCGAAACCGTTTTAGATAGGCCTAACATTATCTTTCCTATTCCGTGCACCATATTTGATAATGTTTATTTCAGTTCGAACACTTTGTTAAAACGAGAGTACTTTATTGATTGAATTGAGGCCATATCGGAGATAACTAAGTCAAACCGAAAATTTTCTGAATGTATTTTCACTTTTCTTAGTCTAGAAACGAATTAGAAGAAATTAATCGTGTTGTTTGAATAAAATACACAAATGTGACGATTACTCATGAAAAATATACTTTGAGTACGTCTGATAAATCAGATGAAAGTAAATCCGAGAAGTTGATTCAGATACGGAAATGGAATAATATCATCATAAAAATGAATGGTACTGAAGTTCACATGAGTCATATCAAACAACAACTGAGAAGCCAATTGATTTAAGCATTAATATATGTACTTATGAAAACGTAGAAAAGACGAAATTGTCCACCTATTTACAAGTGAGACAAATTTAAACTAAGACAAAAAAACCTTGAAAATTTGTAAATTATTTTCAGATTCTTGTTCAAGCCTTATTGTAGAACGCTTTGTGTACAGGATACTTTTTCGTATTTGTGCGATTTTTTTCTTTTTTTATCCCGTAAACGTATGTATAATTCTTTTGTTTTTTTAATCCTAAATTTACTATATTTAGGTTAGCGTTAATAAACTTGATGAGTTTTCTTCCTCTGAATTGAATATTTATTATCGCTTTTAGATGTAGAAAGTGCTCAATTTTGTACATACTTTTTCTTCGTTTTTGTCTTCCATTTATTAATATGTCGTCGTCCATTGATCAACAATCAATTATTCCGAAAAATAATCTTTATATCAGACATAATGATAATAAATTAAATACCGGTTTATCAACATCGACGATTAGTTCTTCATCAACGAGTAGTTCAAGTGATGATGAATATTTTCATGATGCATCAGAAATACCTGAATCACTCTTGTAACTATTCAGTTTTCCCTAATAGAATTTGTTGTTTTAACATGTTTTCACTTTTTAGAACATGTACACAATCGTCGATCTCTAAAGAGAATATACACAAAAATATGGTATACTTTTTGCATTGCTCTGATATATTAATGTCAATGTTCTTCTGTTTAGGAACAACAACCGTGTACAATAACATTAAATCAAACACAAGTAAATGATTTACAGAGACGTGATAAACTAAATTTTTTACGTTTACAAAGCGAAAATGATGATCTATCTTATAGCCAAATGCTTAAATTATTTCAACAAACAAATGCATTAAATTCTGTTTATTCATCATCATCTCTTGATACATCAACGCCAGGAAGATACAATGGACAAACAGAACAGCAACAATCTATCACAAGAAAATATCCACCAGATTTACTGAAAGATCACATCTCGAGTAGTGATCAAAAACGGAAAAAGAGACAAGTGAGTTAGATCTTATTTATATCGGAAGAAAATTCACATTTATTTAAATGTAATATTTTAGTTTTAAGCCTCCTCAACTGTAATTTAATACTTGCTTATTTTAGGCCCCGTCAGCATCCGCACAAAATGGTAGTTCATTGTCGGAGTCCTACAACATGTCACACACTAAAATATGTTCAACCAATGTTGAATCTAGCACTCGCAATAACAGCGACCTGTCATTGAATTTTTCTCCACGTTCTTCAACTCTAATAAATACGCATAATCTACTGATCGATAAGCAGCATCCACAGCAACAAGAAAATAATTGTTGTCCAAATTGTTACGCCTCTTTACCTTCTCCACATTCGCAACAAACATCAAGATATAATAACTATGCGACTTTTACGAATCATGCTTCTTCACTTTCGTCCCCAACTGACACTGTATCAGGCATCTTTTTACCACATTTAGTTTTAAATAATATTCATCAGAGTAATAATTTACCATTACAACAACAACATTCATTACCTGTTTCACCATCGGATTGCACAGCATTACCTTATTCGAATAGAAATTATGGAGGAGCATCAGCTTTAGAATCAAGGAAATTAACGTCTATTACTCCAGCAGTTAGTTTGGATACAATCGATTTTATTACAAACCTTGATGAACTAACGTCTGATAGTCGTACATCGAACGATGATGAAATAATGAAACAACCAATTGCCAGAATCTCAGATTATGGAAAATATGTAACACCTCAAGAGGCTGTGCCAGAAGAATTTATTAATCCAATGACAATGCAAATACTAAGAACAGTTAATGCAAATGCTAAGTATGTGTACAAAATTGAATTTGAAGAATAGTAAACATTATTTTGTTTCTTTTTATTTAAAAGTCCTATTAGCTGCAGTACAAACATGAATAATTCACTTAGAAGAACTTCAATACCAAACGATTATCACAATCATCATCGCAGTTCTATTTCTTCTTCTATCGTAAACAATGAAACAAGTTCTAGTAAAGTAAGTAATGACGAACTCGATTCACTATCGACATCATCTGACGGAAGTACAAAATCCAGTCACGCAGCAGCTGCATCAACATCAATAACCAAAGCACCACCAAAAGCAGTCAAAAGTTTATTCAAAGGAAGTAAAAACCAATTATCAAAACTTGTCAATAAAAAATGGCCAGAGATGCATACAAAAGGAAAGAAAGGTGTGTAGGTAATGCGTTTATGTAGAGCAGTGGCAAAGTAAAAAGTACATACGTTTTGACACAGTCGCAGAATACTTCTAAAACTATTATTTGATCAATTTTTTTACACATTTAGGTAATGGTGAAAGTGAACACGAAGAATATGAGAATGAAATTGATGAGGATAAAGATGTGATATTAAATGAGAGCGACGTTAAATGCAAGTCATCAAGAGATCTGAGAGGTCAAACGGTATTTGATAAAACACAATTGTTACAAACAATAGTTACAGCGCATAACGGTCCAATTTGGTGTATACGTTTTTCTCCGGACGGTCGTTTACTCGGTACGGATAAATAATAGTAGAAGTATTAACTTCAATCACTGAGACACTTGGCTATGAGTTTTTGAATGGGCAAATTTTTACTTTCAGTTTTCTTTTTATCTAGCAACTGGTGGACAAGATAGTTTATTGAAAGTATGGATGTTTAAACAAACACATACACATTTCGACCAATATTCTAATACTATGACAGATTCAAAATCAAAAGAAGCACAAACATCAGATACATTAGCTCAACTTTTTCATGAATTTGACCTGAATAATCGTACAATGACAACTGAGTCAAGTATAAATTCCATATCAGCCTCGAATGAAAATCAAGCACCATTATATTCGAAACCATTTTGTGAATTAATTGGTCATCAAGCTGCTGTTCTTGATATTGCCTGGTCAAAATCATATTTTATGTTATCGTCATCAATGGATAAAACTGTTCGACTCTGGCATTTAAGTCGAAAAGAATGTCTGTGTTTTTTTCGTCATATCGATTTTGTATCGGCAATTGCTTTTCACCCAAGGGATGATCGGTATTTTGTCAGTGCATCTTTAGATGGTAAGAAGCATTACAATATCTGATAGTACTGATAAACTGTTTTCTCGTTTTATTAGGACATGTTCGTCTATGGCATATACCAGATAAGAAAGTGATTTATTGGAATCAAATACAAGCACAAACAAATTCAACATCAGCAACGAATGGAAACTTGATAACAGCAATTAATTTCTGTGACGATGGGAAGAAAGTGATCGTTGGAACATTCGATGGTCGGTTTATAGTATACACTGATTCGTTAGTGTATGATACAGTGATGAATATTGCCGATAAAAGTAATCGATCGAGAAAGAAACGACGAAAACCAAGAAAAATCACTGGTATAGAAGTGATGAATTTAAACACGTCTAAAGTATGTTTCTCATTGTATATCTCTTATCATACAGTGGAAAAAAAGATTACAGAAATTGTTTATCTGTTTAATATTTTAGAAATATTCTTAAAAAACTCTTATCTATATTTAGATATTAATTACATCAAATGATTCTCGTATACGTCTATATAATATCAAAACGAAAGAAATTGAAAGAAAATATCGTGGTTATTCGAACAATTCTAGCCAAATCCGCGCATCGTTTAGTCACGACGATCGTTATATCATCAGGTAAGAAAAAATAATCTTAAATTCTAACACTTTTTGATGTTACTATGTATTTTATAGTGGAAGTGAAGATAGTTGGTTCTATATATGGCGAACAGTACCTATGAATGAGACTTCAATAAATAAGAAATATTCAAAATTCACAAAAAAACAACATCATCGATTTGACTGTGAACGAATAAGAGG